AAATATTAAGAAATAGTAAATAAGTAAAACAAAAGGGCAATGTTTATATAGTAATAACTATTTGAAGCAAACTCCTAAATCACAGAAGTAGTATTGATAAATAACGTCATTTTTTTGTCTTGACCATTAAAAAAACAAAATCATGACAATTCTCTAAATTTTAGACGAAGATATTCAGAAGCATATATCTACATCACAAAAGAAATTGTTAACAAAAACAAATGAAAATAGACTACATCATGTTAACTTCATATATTGGAACATTACATACTAATGCATATATTAAGAAAAAAATAATTATTTTCCTCAAGTACTCGAAGTTATGAATTATACCCTCTTAGGATAGAACGATATATACTTCATCAGAATAGTGTCCCATATTCTGTTAAACTTCGAACTCATTCTAACGACAATAAATCACACACAAAAAAAGAAATGCAAAAAGAATAAGAGTAGAAGTTTTTGAAAAAAATTGTGGTTGAAAAATGAGAGGAAACCCCTCTATTTATAGTCAACAAAGGGTAGTATGAACAAGTGTTTTTTGTGTCTTATATGAAAAGTCATGACCTTTACGGGAAGTCACAACCCTTTGGTAAAGTCACAACTTATTGAAAGAGTCACAACTCTTTGGAAAAGTCACAACTCATCGAAAAATCACAACCCTTTGGAAAAAGTCACAACTTATAATCGGAAAAGTCAGAACTCATCGAAAAAGTCACAGCCTTAGTTAGAGATATTATAGTAATTTAACATTCAAGTTAGGAGTTCATTCTTTTAAAGTAATATAATATAATGTGGATCGTTATATATATCTTTTATTTACGCAAACCTATGAAGATGGTCAACGAAAAATTTTATTAGTTAAATGCAATTATGTATACATTTATTTCAATTTGATTAGGTTCAATCATGTAATTAGTCTTATCTCACTAATATTACCTTATAGACAATATTTGTTTTGTATTTTTCTTGTCATCTAACCAAATGTGCTTCTCATGTGTATTGTACGTTAAATTGTTTAGATGTCATATGAACATATGAAGAGAACAACTATATTTTATATATTCACATATTTTTACATTTGTTGTGAGTTTTTTTTTAAAAAAAGAACTCGGAACATTTTCAAATAATATATTTTCAAGTTAGAAGATCTCGTTAACTTAATAGTTTAATTTAAATACAAATACCTACCCATTTGTGACATATATAATACTTTAATTTAAATACAAATACCTACCCAAATATAAATATATATTTGCATTAATGAAAATATTTATCTCATAAAATTAGCTATTAAATAAATAATAAAAATTAAACTAATACAAACTTCAATTGGCGTTATTACAAGTCATATGAACTTTTCTTCATCTAAAATACTAAAATATTAAGAAATAGTAAATAAGTAAAACAAAAGGGCAATGTTTAGAGAAAACAGCCAAATACCCCCTCAACCTATTACCCAATTCTCAACTACACACTTCACTTATACTTTACGGGGGTCCTATTACCCCCCTAAAGTATTTTAAACACAGTTATTGACACCCTTAAAATGTCACCCCGAAATCTTTGTTGCTAAGTGTAATACACACACCTATTTTTTTCAGACTAAAATTTTTTTTTAAAAAAATCATCACCAAAATACATTAGCTGTTTTTCAGTTTTTCTCCACCATTCCATTCATCTTCCTAAATCATCCCCTTTTTCTCCATTGTTCCCAAATGTCTCATCTTCTCCAATCCACCTCCATCTCCATCACACCCATCCTCCTCTATCTTTCTTCTATCTTTTCGATTATTTATTTACACAAAATCTTTTTGTTATTGTTGAATTCAATAAATTTGACATGAATGTTGAATCTTTTTACTATGGTATTTTACTGCCATTATGGTCTAGATCTGCATCCGTTGCTTTTGTTTTGATAGATTTGAAGATGAAAAATTTTCTTGCCAAATTTCAAATTCTAATACCCACTTTCAATTTCAATCTAGAAACTCACAAATTTCTAATTCTAAAACCCACTTTCATTTCCAATCAAGAAACTCGGGTTGCTACAATAATCGAAAAGATTTCTCTAGCGAAAGCGGATTGAGAGTATTTTCCATTGAGGTGAAGAAATTAAAGGATTATCATTAACTTTCTTTTGGTTATA